CCTGATTGTTGAGGGCTTTGTAAGTAATGAGGAGGACTTTGAAGTGATTCTTTGACGGACGGGGAGCCAGTGGAGGTTCTGGAGGATGGGAGTGATGTGGTCTCGGGAGCGGGTGTGGGTGAGGAGGCGGGCAGCAGAGTTCTGGATATGTTGGAGTTTATTGAGGAGGTTGGATGGTATGCCATAGAGGATGCTATTGCAGTAGTCGAGTCGTGAAGTGATGAATGCATGAATCAGGTTTCAGCAGCAGAGGAGGAGAGTGATGGGCGGAGACGGGCAATGTTTTTGAGGTGGAAAAAGGAGGTCCTAGTGATGTGATTGATGTGGTGGTTGAATTTGAGCTTACTGTCGAAGATGACTCCGATGTTGGGGATGTGAGGGGGGGGAGATAGAGTGTGTCTGTCAATGGTGAAGTTGAAATTCTGGATGGCTTTGGTACGGGATGGGGGGCCGATGATGATGATGATGTCTGATTTGGCACTGTTCAGTTGGAGATAGTTTGTTTGCATCCATGCTTTTATTTCTGAGAGACAGTTGGTGAGAGTGGAGTGTGTTGTGGGGGTGAAGTTTTTTTTTGAGGTATAAAGTTGGATGTCATCGGCGTAGCAGTGAAATTGAAGGTTGTGGCAACAAATTATTTTGCCAAGGGGGAGCATGTAGACTAGAGGATGAAGAGGAGGGGGCCAAGCACCGAACCCTGGGGGACGCCTTGGGACAGAGGAGCAGTGGAGGAGGTGCAGTTGTTGATGTTGATAAACTGATGTCTGTCGGTGAGGTAGGATTTCAGCCAGGAGAGTGCAGTGTCGGTGATATTGAGTGATGATTCGAGGAGGGACAGCAGGATGGTGTGGTTGATGGTGTTGAATGTTGCGGTTAGGTCGAGGAGGATGAGGATGTTCAGGTTGCCGGAGTCAGAGGAGAGGAGGAGGTCGTTTGTGGTTTTCAGAAGAGCTGTTTCTGTGCTGTGTTTTGATCAGAATGTGATGTGGAAATAAATGTAAAATAATTTCTACATCTTGACAAGATGTTTTGATCATAAAGTCAAATACTATATTGTTCAGTTCCAGCTACCGTTGACTAAATGTTTTTGTAGATACACTGTAATCATAAGTTGTAATGCACATGTGTAAATGATAAACTGAGGAATAAAAATTACTCTTATTTTTCTTAAGAAATGTCAGGTTGTTCATATTGTTTTGTAAAAAGATAATTCATTAAATGTGAACATTTTCAGAAGGTACTTTTTTGCACTCAAACAAAGAGAACAATCTGGAGTTGTCGTTATTTATAGGTATGATGGTTTACTTTCCGACCCCCTTGAGATCAAAATTGGCTGTTTGTGGCCCCTAAAATTGGTCTGACACCCGTGCTATATACTCAGAGTTTCATGGTCGAGAAACATTCACATGATCTGCTCAGTCATTTCATCTGCTTCGTCTTCTCCTGAAAAGTACAAAAAAAGACTGTGATGAACTCGTTGACCGAGTTGAGTAATGTCTTACTTCATCTGTACTTCCTGTTGTAGCTTATGATTCCCGAGGTTCTGCACGTGGAGGTCCCGAAGGAGAAGATGGAGGCAGCCGTGGAGGAGCTGAGCGGCTCGCTGAAGCTGCTGGAGGAGAAGTTCCTGCAGGACAGACCCTTCATCGCGGGGGGTCACATCTCACTCGCCGACCTGGTCGCCATTGTGGAGGTCATGCAGGTGAGGAAGGGTTTTTTATGGGAGTAAAAAAGGTCCGTATCCATAAAGACAGAACCATCCAAGAGTTTTTTACCTCTCCCGTTTACATTACTGCTAACCTGTTTCTCAAGAATAGCACAATGTTTTTATGTTTTTTTTTTTTACTTTCAATTTTTTTTTCTAGATTTGAGAAAGCAGTGCAAGAGTTTTAAGGTTACCTAGGGAATTTTCAGGTCCAATATCAACTCTCAATACATGTCAAATATTTTAAGCCTCGAGTCTAGGCGATGCTGCAATGACATAAGGATCATTTTTGTCATATTTCCAAAAGGTGTGTGCAACTGAATGCAGCTATTGTTCCGTTCTGCTTCAGAAAAAAAACAAAAAGTCAGAAAACTATTTATTTGTGTGGAGTTTGAAAGAGCAGCTCATGAGTGTGAGTGCCTGAGGAGGGAAGCTGCGTGTGTGCATGATCGTCCTTGTTGTTCCCCTGAGGCTTACACTGTCACTGTGAGAGAGAAGCCTGTGAACGGCCTTTACGAGCTGTGGTGGATAGTAATCAAGTACATTTTCTCAAGTTCAGTACTTACGTACAATTTTGATGTACTTGTAGTTAACCTTAGTATCTCAGTGTATGCTACTTTTATACAGTACTTCTATATTGTACTTTTTTACTCCACATCATTATTTGACAATTTTTACTTACTATTTACTTTTTAGATTTAGGTTATAAGCCGACACATTCATTGTTAAAATAGCTATTATATAATTATAAGTTAAGATATCCAGCAGCAGTATATCAAATAATTACCAGCACACTAACATCAATAATCATAATCCGTAAATGTTCTGAAATGGGCCATTACGCATAAGGAGTACTTTTAATTTGTGTACTTGAAGTGTATTTTATTATTGATACCTTTGTGTTTTTACTTAATTAAGATTTTTTCAATGCAGGACCTTTACTTGTTCCACCTCTGTGTAAAAACTCACAGGAAGTGAGCCGGGCATTGAAGCACATTTTCATACTAGTGAAACGTTGGTGCTACAACTTCCACACCAGTCTCTAATGTCATTAAGCCCACAAAAAATACTTTATCCCACTGACTGGCAAGTTTATTTTTGTGAAATCGGACACTTGAATAGCCCTTCTTTAAATCATTAGGACCTACTGTAACAGTTGTAAAATGCTGTAAAAGCAGAATCTAGAGTTATTTTTCCTCTCTATTCATTGACTTGAGCCCAGACCGGACCTGACAAAGCGACTGGAGGCGAGGCTAAAGGAAAACCTGAGGGTATATGCTCTGAGGGTCCGCAGCCATTTTGGACTTCATGCCCCACTGAGCAACTTTCATTGGAATGACGGAGCCTTGCCTCCAACTCTGTATCCAGTTCTCTTCTCTTAATATGCTCCTGATAGCTAACATGTATTATTATACATTTGTACACATGCTGATAACAGATAGCTTTTGTGAAGTTACGTGATTCAGGCAAAACGTCCTCAAACAAAAAAACTCAGCTGATGTTGAAGACCTGGAATTAAAGGAGTTCTTGTATTGCGGGGTTATGCTAATTATCTCAAGTATCATGCTATACTATAAGTGGGAAATATGTCTTATTTCCCCCTAACACAACCCTGTTGAATTATGACTATCCACAACTACAAGAAACTAAGGTTAGATTTAGGACTTTTTGGTTCCTTTTTTTTTTACTTTTACAACATATTCTTGATTTTCAACATCTTCTAAGATGAGGACTGGTAATGGTAATTAATGTGTATTGGTGACTCGAGTGTACATTTACAAACCATTAGCCTCAAATAAAGAAACCAATGGCTGCCTGAAGGGTCGAAAACAGTTGAAATACAGTATCTAAAACACTACATCACATTTAATCATTGTTAGGCAATTCAGACAATAATATCTGCTCTGTAGTAAACGGGCAGGCATTAATGGTTGAAACAGGTTTATAGGTGTTCCACACTAACAGGCCTCATCTGTGCTCCTCTCCCTCTCCCTCAGCCTGTGGCCGCCGGCCTGGATGTGTTTGGAGGTAGACCCAAGCTGAACGCCTGGCGGGACAGAGTGCAGGCTGCCATTGGAAAGGAGCTGTTTGATGAAGTCCACCAGAACATCCTGGGATCCCAAGAGACAGTGAAAGTGATGGACGGCAGCAAGTTGGAGTTCTCCAAGGCCAAGATCCTCAAATTTTTCATGTGAAGAGGACAACACTGCTTCAGTTACTGATAGTCTCCATACACACTAGATACACAGTAAAAATTCACAATGCATGCATAAAGAATCTTGTGTTAAGCCTGTTGAGGCAAATCTGTCATTTGTGCTTTCTGGCTGTATAAATAAAGCTGGATTTGAATTATAAGACTGATTCCTATTATTTTAAAGTAAAAGAATGTCAGTGTTTGTCGGTATGGAAGCATGTGATGGGCCATGAAGGCAGTCACAAAGTTCTGGTGATTATCTGTTCACACTGTGACAATGTGTTTCACTGTGTGCAGTGATGTGGATAATGCAGCATAAAGGTTTCAGGGCACTCTTTAAGTAAAGTTCAGAAAGTAGCACTCATTGTATTTGAAGTCAGCTGCATAGGCGGGGTCAGAGGTTCATTTAATGTCAGAGGTTCATTTAATGTCATCCTGTTCACAATTGTATCTCAGTTTGTACTTATAAAGCCATTGTAGAATCTGCAATGTGCTTCAAATCCACAGACTGTTTCTTACGATGGAAGTGCCTGTATTGGGGATGTTTTGCCGTCACTATTGTAAAGCACGAGGAAGTGGAGGCATGTTAATTATCTAAATAAAAAGTCACACATATGGACACACAAACGCAGTTCTCCATCAGAGTGATGGAATGTGTTCACAGTAAATTGTGATCTCAAATGGAGCAGTGATTTGGTACTAAGGGAGAAGCTTCTCTACTCTCTCTATGTAGTGTGGGGGTCGGATAAAATTGTTGCCCTCCATTCAGAAGGTCAATGGTTCAATCCCAGCCCCTGCAGTCAACATGTCTAAAACTGCATTCACACTTTGACATGGTAAAGAAGCTCTGCATGGATGTTGCTTTTGTTTTCCTATGGAGAGAGCAGAGTTTCCCAGCTAGGCGGAAGCGCTACCCTCGATGTTGCACACCGCTCAAATATAGCGTCTCTATTCAGAGGCGGTGCTTTAAGCACTGATATGTCCATCGCCTGCATGCGCAGGTCGAGTACCAATCCAATACCAACAAAGTCACCTGTGACCCCCCGTGACACCGGCTATATCTGCCGGTGTCGTCAGAGGATCTGTTCCTTTCATCTTCTTGCTGTGCGAGAGTACAGTGGCTACATTCTTGTAGCATACAGCGTTCGGTTTGAACGTTTGATCTGAAGGATTTCTCTGCAGACAGCTGGCTGCGTGCAGCTTCGCGACTGATCCAGTCGGAGCAGCGGGTTGTTGACTCGTTCTCCAGGAGCTGTGGCCGGCTGCGCAGAGCTTCGACGGACAGGTTTGTGTCAACTTTGTTGGTGATGGCTGTGTTCCCGCACCCTCTCCCAGCTAAATTGTCGCTATTGGGTAAGCCCACTGCACGTGTGCAGCACTGACAGACTTAATCCACACCCACCTATGACGTGGGCCCCACCTCCGGGCTCACTTCCGTATAAATAGGAAGTAGTCCCTACAATCTGCTCCCACACAAACAGCTTTTCTTCAGCTATTCGCGGAGCCAGTGGGGCCCGACCCTTAGAGGGCTGCGCCTATACTCATAGAAGCTGGGTTACATTACGTAACCCCAGTTCTATATCGTATAAGGCTTCGCCCTCTAAGGCTATCGCTATTGGGTTAAGGGCGAAGCAGGATGTAGTCTACGCCCCACTGGTTCCGTCCGTTACCAGAAGCACAAAACACACCTACTCAGTTAATAACCCATGTCCATTTCGTCCTGCGTAAAATGGAGCATCACATTCCCAGGGAATATCATTTAAAAAATGAATATTCTCCATAAGGG